ATGGAGAAATAGGAACCCTTCTCCACTGCTGGTGGGAATGAGACTGGTGAAACCACTGTGGAAATCAGTTTGGAGATTCCTCAAAAAACTAGGTCTAGAGGTCCCATTCAACCCAGCTATTCCCTTTCTGGGTATTTTCCCAGAAGATCGAAAAACTTCATATCAGAGTGACATTTGTGCACCTATGTTCATAGCAGCACAATTTTTAATTGCTGAATTGTGGAAGCAACCCTAATGTCCATCCACCATGGATTGGATAAGAAAATTGTTGTACTTTTATATAATGGAATATTACTCAGGTGTATTCTTTATTACTTTTTTTATAGAAAGATAAACTCGAGGCCTTTATAGGTAAATGGTCACAAGTAGAGACCATACTCCTAAGTGAAATAAATCAGACCTGCATGGGCAAGCACCGCATTGTTTCACTAGTGTAAAACCTGAAAGAGTTAATTTAAACTAGGAGGTATGATAGACATTGTGAAATGATAGGAAAACACTCAAGGGTAAAGGGCAACTGGCATGTGGGAAAAGAGAAGGGAAAGAAGGAGAAATTTTGTATGTATGTATATACAGAATAGTTAACATACTTGTTCTACTGTCTTCTAATTCTTTGCTGAAACACACTGTCATTGAGTCCTTGATTGATCAATATTGCATGTCTCTATCTGTTTTCATGAGAAACCACTGTGAAGATGTCAATATATAATACAACAAGCATTGTTAATTTCCTATCACTTTGTTTGTAACTATTGTCTGTACTGTTTTGCTATTTTGTAAAAGGTTGTCTGTTAATGTTTTCCTCCTTTTATTTTTAAAATAAAAAAAAGAGTTACAGTAATATTTATTTAGATAAAACATCTCTAAGGGGCTCATTTTAAATGTTAGAGCAAGACTATATTTTCTGTAGTATGTGGAGAGACAGTTAATAGGCAATGGCCTTGCCCATCAGGTACTGCTGATACGTCCAGACCCACCTGCTCTTCTCCCACCTCCCCATCAATCCCTAATTGTTAAGCTCCGTGTGCTTTCCCTTAAATAAACTGGATTGCTGTGGACTTGGTTTACCAGCTGGATCTGTCTGGTAAATTTCTGTTCCTGTATAATAAAGTGCAGTGCTCCAATTCTTTGTGAAGTCCTCTCTAAAGTCTCAACAGTAGTGCTTCTTCTTCAGCACACAAACTGCTGCAGAGCATTGATGCCCACATACCTCCTTAGCTGCTCTGTTAGTGCCATGGAGACAGGGATTGCTATTCACTTAGAGATATATCCTTGGCAGATGGACAAGTGCTGAGCATATTGTAGGGGCCTGGCAGCCTCTGAAGCTGGAAAACCATACCTGCATGGGACCTGGGCTCCTCTGCTTATTGCCCAGTGAAGCATAAGAAAGGGCTATTTACCAGCTTGCCTATCTTGTTGCTGCTCAGCAGGCTGTTTTGAAAATATTAAAATGTGTGGTTTTCACCTTACCCCTTCCCTGTTATCAGCCAGAGTAAGTACCACCTGGTCTGTTCTGTTGTCTCACACCTCCCCTGGAAGAGTAGGGTACTACAGCAATCTCCGGAAGGAATTTGCTTTTGCTCTTTTAACTTTATAGCTTTTCAAGCAAAATCATGCTTTAAAAATTTCTAAACCATTTATTTTAGCAATTTCTTTATCTCTATATTTAATTGTATATGTATTTCTAAAATTCACAGTGTATGGTTTTGCCAAAACTCAATGCTTTGAAAAGAAAACATCAAAAGAATTTCAGTAGTGAAGTCTCATATGTATCCAACCCAATCATTTTCATTCTTACTAGCAGTTTAACTTACAAGGTACTTTGTTGCTTTAGGCTAAGAAACAAGTTAAGAGCTGCCTAATTTTGGACATAAATCATGAGACTGGGTGGGTGGCCTGGCTGCACATGGGCACTTTTTCCACTAAGGTTCTTTTGTATTATTTGCTGTTCTGGACCAAATGAAAATGCTTGTCCTTTAAATTGCCTTCTCCTTGGCTTCACGATGGGCTTCTTCCCTGTACTGTCTTTGGGAAGGTCAGTGTAAACAACACTAAAGCTGTTCTAAATAACCCAGTATTCCAACTTGGATTAGAGGCGCCATTGCAGATGGACATCATAGAACAAACTCCCTCACCTACGTTAAAACATTCTGTTCTTGGGTTTCTTTGCACCTAAAAAGCTATCCGTTTTAGTCAAGCTAAAAGTAGATTGTAATTGTTTGCTTCTAAATGATGTCTCAGGCACAAGGATACCGGATAAAAATAGAAAATAGGGTTTGATCTTTAAATTAATGCCATATCCCCAAATACCTTTTTTTTAAACCTTGTTTGAATATATTTGAGATTCTGATCATGTTTCCAGAAGCTTTATAATGTTTATAAACCTGGAATGGAAGAGGGAATGCTTTATTAGATGTAATTTTTCCTTAAAGCATTGGGACATCTGGCTGCCGTATTTTTAGCTCAAACTTTGTGAGTAATAACAGTCTCTCTACTCACACACAGCCCTGGATATACCTCTGTGCCACACACACACACACACACACACACACACACACACACACAGATGCAGTCTTACAAAGAAAAGCAATCTTTATCAGCATTGGCTTTAGAAACAGCCCTAAGGATTTTAGGTAATTGTAAATTTCTAATAGAAATATAAGACTTACTATTAAGCACTATATTCCATTTAATAAATTTTCCTTCCTGACTCTGGTTCTTAAGAAAAAGATAATTTCTTTTAACTTTCGTTTAAAGAACCCTTTGGCTAGGAGCTACTAGGAAATCACAAACAGAGCAAAGACAGAAATGTCTGTGATTATTCCTTGCCTCGTGGTGGCTCCTCTTAGTAGCAGAATTTGTGACTGTAACTCTCCGAAGAGCCTTGAAGGACTAATCTTTTGTTTTGTTTTGTATTCTGTCTCCCCGCTTCCTCCTCTTCCTATTTTTCCTTCACATTAAATCTACGTTACCATAAAAAATAAGGCACGTCAGGGTGAATAGGGGATGGATGGATAGAAGGGTTATCAGCTAACAATGAGTTGTTAGCTGTGCAGTGTATGTGGAGGGACAGAGGCGACCGTGGTGTAGGTGTTGCTTGTCCTCCAGAAGGTTTGCTGTGGAAACTTGGTCCCCAGGTTGGTGGACTGAGGAAGGAAGTAAAACCTTCATGAGTGGAGCAGAGAGGTCGCTAAGGCACCACGTTAGCAAGGGAGTCCTGGTCCCCTAGTATGAGCCCTCAGAAGGGCAAACTATTGTAAAAACCCATGCTGAATCTCTCTTGGCTCCTCCTGCTACCCATTAGGGACCCTTGCAACAGCCAGCAAGTAGGGTGCACTTTGAACCTTTAAAACTAAGCTAAATAAGCCTCTTTTTTTGTTTTTGGTTTTTTTTTTGTTGTTTGTTTTTTTCCGGTACTAATGACCTCACGCTTCCCAGGCAGGCGCTGTGCCACTGAGCTAAATCCCCAGCCCCACCTCTTTTTCTTTTGAAGTAGACTTCTTTGGGGGTTTCATTATAATGGTGAAAGAATGGACTTAATACAGAGGTCTACACTGTAAAGGCCTTTCCATTGTGCTACTTGTTTGAAGTTTTTCTTAATAAAATCACTTAGGAAAGGTTAGCCTTAAAAGGTGAATTACAGGGTTTTCACCTCATGTTTAATTTTTTTTTACAGTTATTTTATTAGAGAAAAATGTACATAATTTCTTTAAAAGCCACATTCAACTATCTTCGCAAATGAAACCCCCAAACTATTGACTTATAAACTCTCCATGTTTGAAATTCATTTTAGACTCTGCTAAATAATTGAGTTCGTATTTAAAGATCTGTGTAATGATGGTATCATTACAATAGGGAATTGCTTACATAACTAGGCTGTATAGTTAATGAAATGCTATGTAGCCGTTGGAGTATACAGTATAGACAGAGCAGTGACACGAAAGATATTTATAGTACATTGTATGCTGACTAGAAAGTTAAGGATGAATATAACATACATGTATTATATATAAATTTTTAAATATGTTATATATATATCTTACCTCTGAATTATGAGATTATAATTTTCTATTTTGTCCTAACGTAAAATTTCCTAATGTTTTTTATTTAATTTAGTAACTTAAAAAAGAAAGAAAAAAGAAACATCTATTTTTCTGGTAAAATGGACTCAAAAAAACCCCGGTATCTTTAAAAATTTTTTATCAAACCACTGTTGTAAAGAATGCAGTTGAAATATGTGAAAACAAATAATGTTTTCAGCCTTCTGAAGATATTTTTGTGGACTTGACTAGTGACTTTTGAAGTGAGGTTAAGATATTTTCATGCTGCTGGGCCCAAGGCATTTCATAGTTGGAAATGCCCTATCTTTAATCTATAATTGCATTACATTTCTATGTCTGACTCATGAGGAAAGGAAGCTTCAAAGCAAAAAACAAAAAAAAACCCAGAAATTTACCATTTTAGCTAAATCTCTGTAAATATAACCGCCATTGATACAGTTCAGACAGTGTAGCAGCCATGGTGCAAGGTTTCCAAATGCCCTCGCTGAAGAATTGAAGGTTCAAGAGGGTGCAGTTAGAAATGCTTTTTTTTATTTCACATCTTTCTATGAGGAGATTTAAGGACTGTATTGATGGTACACCAACTTACTATGTATGTCTAAGAGCGATAAAGGGAGGTAGATGATGGTTACTGACTTTTTTCCTATCTAGCTAAAATTTATTACACATTTTGCTTATGATCTTGAATTAATGTTTTAGCGATTGTTTCCACTCACTGGAAGACATTTTATTAAATTAGACAGGCAAATCAAAAGTAAAATAAGCAAAAGTAGAATTAATCTCTGTGTTCCAGTCGTCTAGTCCTCTCGTAGTCAATTATATGAAATTCGTCACATTCTTCTGTGTGTGTGCGTATCCTTCTCCCGTGCCCTCGCAGTCTGTTCCAACACTCAGTCCCTCACAGTGTGTAATGTTTTCCTCTTCTCTTGTCTTTCCCAGGCCGAATGTCCAGTGACCGAGCTTTGAGGAAGCAGCAACAGCTAAACAACCTTGTTTATGTGGTGATGAATCAGGCCAAACCTGGTGACAGAATTGTGGATTTCTGCAGTGGCGGGGTATCACATGTCTCTTTTTATCTTTTCCAAGATTGTGTGACTTTTCTGTATCACATTCAAAGTCATGTTTTTGTTGTCTTGAAATGAGCAGAAGCCATGGGGACTGAAGTTAACTTCCTTTTTTTACTGACTTTCTCTAGGGCCATGTTGGAATTGTTCTTGCTCACATGCTGCCATTGTGCCAGGTAAATTCTAAATAATAGATAAAAGGAAACATTTTAGCTAAATACAATTCAGTTAGCCATGTCAGGCTTATCTTGCTCTTAAGTTCCCAGTCACTCACCCAAGTCAAATACTAGGGATAAGCATTTTCTTCTGCCTTTAATGCAAACTTCTAAGGTCAGAATCTTAAGGGGGTAAAAAAGATAAAATACGACCACAAAACAGTTGATGTGTTTAAATACTTTTTTAAATAAATAGCTTTTCCATTGTTAAATAAAATAATTATGATTAAACTTATTTAATTTTCAATATCCAGAAATGCTAACTTGTGAAACTTACATTAGTATGCTCCTTTGGTATTCTTTTGATTCACTGCATCAAAATTATAATAATAACAAAGATTTTGGGAACAAAAAAAACCTAAACTTACTGTATCTATTCATCAGATGTGTTTCTTATTTTGTTCTCATTAAATCATTGTTCATATGGACATTACTATTTTTTTTTTTTTGGTTTTTCTCCGGTACCGGGAACCGAACTCACGACCTTGCTCTTGCCAGGCAGGCGCTTTTGCCTGGCAAATCCCCAGCCCCGACATTACTATTAAAATTCTAAAAATGCAAATACAGTTTGATCATTGCTTGCATTCAGTAATGTAGTTTTACATGTGATCATACTTTAGAGACTATGTAGTACATTTTTAAGTAAATATTCCATAATGTATTCAGTTGTTGCCACTGTTGGCTAGAAGTTGGTACTGAATCTCCCACCATGTTGAACTGATTCCCCACAGTGGCCATCTTTTAACACATAACTCATGGCAGGGAATCTTCTCCCTCCTTTTTTTTTTTTTTTTTTTTTTATAAATACAAATTTACCTGGGACAGAGTCTTTCTGTGCTCTCTGGAAGGTGTGCACTAATTACACTGAATATTTTCAGAAGAAAAAAATGTGACAAACCAGTACACTAGTCAGAATGACACATAAGAGAATGATTGGAGATGGGGTGTTCTCTTTTCTTAGACATTGAAGACTAAATAAACCGAGAAAATTTAAGAGAAGAGGCAAGTATCTCCTTTATTATGAGAGAATATACTGATTTCATGATGAGGAGGAAGAGCGCTCATAGAGTGGAATCCTGGCAAGGCGGAGTCAGGGATGTAGTCTCTTTTTTCCCTTCCTAATAACTCTCGTAGAAGCTTGGATAGGTTGGACCTGGAAAAGGCATTGGCTAGAATAGATACTGGAAAGCCTTCAATACCAAGTGAACTCTAATAGATATTTTATACAGAAGGATCCAGGATTTCCCATGAAGGCAAGTGTAAGGACAAAATAGGAACCAGAAATGATAGGAAAGGGTCTTTATTCCTCATGGTTCCTGTTGGAGGCTCCTAACTTTTCCCTGCCTTCTGCCTTACCTCTCCCAACCTATATTTCTCTCATTGCAGCTGGCAGAATCTTCTTTTATCATAATGTAGTATCCAGCTGCCATTACCTGTCTACTCTCTCCACTCTGTTTGTCCATCCCCTCTGTTACTATTACACATGGCCCAGTGATGCCAGCTTTCTCAAGTCTTCAAACATGCCATGCTCTTTCCCATCTGGGCCTTCACATGTGTTTTTCTCTACCTAAAACACTTCCTTCCCCTTGCTAATTTCTGTTCATTTTTTAGGCCTCAGTTTATATGTTAATTCCCCATGAAAACCTTCCTTGGTTATCCCCTCTGGGTGCTCCCATTATACATTTTTTTTCTCTCATTAAATACTACCATAGCTTGATGGTGATGATGCATGCCTGTAATCTGAGCCTACTTGGAAGGCTCAGGCAGAAGGATCATAAGTTCAGGGCCAGTCTGGGCAACTTAGTGAGACCTCCATCTCAAAAGTAAACCACACAAAAAGTAGTCATCACACTGTATGGTTGTTGCTTGTTTCACTGATAGCAGGTATTACTCATTTAAGTTTCAGGGTTCAAAGACCTCATTCGTGTTTGTGCCAGGACAACTGGCATAATTTCTGGCACAAGATAGAGGATTACTACACTATGTGCATGTCATTAAGGCTATGAAACACAGTAATAACGCTTTGTACTAAAATCGGAATAATGTTACTGAATATACTATTTTTTTTTCTGGGTAAAATATAGGTTATATTAATAGAAAACAAAGAATTATCATTAATCCGTGCTAAGAAGAGAAGTGATGAACTAGGTTTAAGCAACATCTGGTTCATTCAAGCAAATATGGAGTATTTTGCAGGAATGTTTAATATTGGGGTAAGTAATCAAGCAATTTCCATTTCTTTAAGAAAAATTATATGCCCTACTGTAAATAAAGGAGATAATTTTATATTCTTTCCTAAACAAACAAGTCTATCACTTTCTATATTTTACCTATAAAGTAGAGCATATGATTATTATTTTACTTATAGCACTGCAGAGATAACTTTTGATTTGCCACTGAAGAAGAATGCTATTTCCTTCACTAGTGAATCTCTACCTATGTACAGCTTAAATTTAACATAAATGTTGTGATAGAAGTTAGAGCTTCTCCCATGAAGCAGGCTAGCAACCAGGCCAGTTACAGTACACCAGGTGGTGAGTTCGTGGTAGCGAGAGATGACTGCCCATTTCCACCTCAGGACACAGGGTCCCTTCCCTGTACACAGGCTCTTTGTCATCTGTGACTTACAGGTACAGACCTCGCTCTGACATGTTCTTGTCACTTCTGATTAATAATTCATGCACGCCAACTAAAAACATCTTTTTGAAAGTACAAAATATTTTTCTTTTATGTTTCATAATTATACACCTATAATGGTTTTTTCCCTTTTTATAATAATATTTGTCAAGGCATAAAGCACATGAATTAAAATTACTTAGAAGCGTAAACCAAAATTAGATTCACTGTCAGGGAAATAATTTGCCTAAGAATGTAATTGAGGCATTGTCACTGGATAAATCAGGTGAAATGAATCAGTGGCTATAGCTCTCAGGTTAAACAGGATGCAATAAAAATAAGGAGCTACAAAGGAAATCAGAATAACTGAGCATTGAAAATACAGTAAATTATATCAGCCATGATATAATTGTGTGAAATTTTAATAAGGGATTTTTTGGCATTTAACTTGCTTAACAAATACTTTTGCTATTCTTCATTAGATATTAAAATTAATGGTATAAATAAGATTTTTAAGGAGCAATTTTAAAGTCAGGATCAATTATTCTCAGGAATTTTTAACAAATCATTTATACATGAGAATTTAAATACTAATTATTAGTCTCCATTAATGCAATAACCTGTACAAGCAAAATGAATAGACTTACTAACTTGCTAACCTAGTTTGATTTGAAATAATTAAAGGGAGCAAGTCAAAATATTTTCAGCCTTTCTTGTATTAAGCTCTTTCAATAACCCTGGTCTGCTGCACTTCTGCATTTAAGTTTCCGATTTCCACTGTGCCTGTTTGAGAAATGTGTATCTTTAGAAATACAAATGTCTAATAAACATATGAAAATATTTAAAGTCCCTGGAAATTAAGTCCATTTTCATTTAAACATTACATTTCATTTTTGCTCTTCAAATCCACAGAAATTTTAAAAATATTATTACTCATGGGCTGTGAGTGTCAGTGAGATAAGCCCACTGACAGCCTCATTTACATGTTATTTGCAGTGGTTTGTTAATGACATGAAAAATCAGTTAATATGGTAAACAAAGAAAGAAGCAAATAAACATAGTGATTTAAAGCATGGATTTAGGAACTAGAAATGTAGCTCAGTGGTAAAACATAAGCTTTGGGTTCAATCACCCGTAAGGAAAAGAAAAGAGGGAAGAACACAGGAAAAAACAGGAAAAAAAGGGAAAAGAGAAGGTATGTTTTAACATCGGGTAACTCTACGCCAAAGTCCCAGCTGCACACTGTATGACTCTGTGGGCCTGAGCAACTTATGTAAACTATCTTTCTTCCATTTTCCCATCTGTAAAATGGTCCTAAAATTCCTGTAATAGGATATGGAAACCGTGTTGTAAACGGAGGCAGGTGCCAGGCCCTTAGGAAGTGCTCCATACACGGAGCTTCTTCCTCCATGCAGGGTCATCTCAGCTGTGAGAAAACTACATTAGAAAGCAATGGGAGTAAACTGTGCTAATTGGTATTTTTTGAAGGTGTCTGTTGTGTTTTTTTTTTAAATATTTTCAGAACATCGCACATTAATATATTTTATGTATATAAACATATGAGCAATAAAGATCTGAAGAAATAAATATATGATAGATATTCCTGGGCCTATTGGGTCCTGATAAATCTACAATAAGTGGAAATAGTGTACTAGGCAGTGCAGTCAGTATGCCAACCTCTCGTTGCAGCTTAGCAACACTGCGCTGCTGGTTGGCTGCCCTCTCTCACGCAGCGGGCTGGGCACCGAGGCTCCCGCTGCTTCCACCGCACATCACGAATGAGTCTCCCTAGGCATGTGACTAGCCCAGGAAAGACCAAACCGTGAAATGTGGTGTGCGTTTACACTATCACAGAATCAGAGATCATAAGCAGAGCCATTGTTAGGAATTGTCTAATTATTTCCTGCAAAACAAGTATATGACTATCATAGGAACAACCTTGCATGGGCTTACTCTGATTTTCATTATAATGATTACCAGTGTCCTGAGGAAAATATAAAAATTTTTTCTAAAGCAAGAAATATCTGAAAAGGCTTTTAGGTTCTTTCCATTTCCGTGTATATAGCTGCATGATCCAGATATGAGCATTATTATACATTTAAATGATCACTTTTTAGTCATAAAAGTGCATTTTTAAGGCTATTTTTAAAGGAAGTCTATTATTATTTTCTTTCTTACTATTATTACCTTCTTTTTCAGTAAGTCTCATTATTTTAAGAAATTAAATACCTTAACACTTAATTTATAAAATAAATCTTAGTATTCATTCTCTCAAACAATGATCCAGATACCTTATTCTCAAATAACGTGGAAAGGGCCATGACTGCAGAAAAGTGCACACTTTGCATTAAACACAAGTATTCCATCAAGCCTCATCAAGTACTAAAATGTTTGAATTGGGTGATTCTAACCCTAACAAGCACTGGTGAATTTTTTTATAGTTTTCATTGTATATCAATAGCAAAAAAAATTTTCAAGTTATTTTTATTTGCTTTGTTATATTTTTACCCTTAACAATTTTTGTGTTTATTTATGGCTTAGTGGTGTGCAGAGTACTTAATTACAGGCTCATTTCTAGAAATGTCTGTTAGTGTGCAACTAAAAGAAATACATGCAATTACAAGTGTAATTTACTTTAGATGAGTAATTACATATCCGGTTTTAAAGGATAAGGAACTGGAGCAATTATTTGTTCTGCAAACACAATTTTTAAAACTCATTAAGAAAAAAAAATAAAATAAAATAAAACTCATTAAGGCAAAAGAGAAGATTTCCAAGATGAAAATGGCAGATAGACATATTTCAGCCCCTCATCTCCCCCAAGAAATACAAATTACGAAAATAAAAGCAGAAAAATCAGTGTCTGATGAAACTACAATGAAGAGTCTGCACCTTGAATCACACAGTCTGAGGTACAAAGGTGGAAAGCAGGTTGAAGAAAACAGTGCTACATTATTGGAGAGTCAGTGTCTCGGTTACTTTTCTCTTTTTACTGAGACAAAATATCCAACACCCAAATTAAAGAGAAGAATGTTTATTTAGCTCAGTTTGTGGATGCTTTCGTTCATCTGACTGGCTCCAAAGCAGAGTGGCACATGGCAGAGGGCGACAGCTTATGAGAGAGGAAAACAGCAAAAGCAGCAAGAACAAAAGGGGGAGGAGCAGAAAGAGCAAGCCTCCTTCCCTCCCTTATATTGTACACAGGCTGCCTGCCCCAGGGCGGGTGTAGCACTCATAACTGTAATCCCAGCATTGGAACATGAATCAATCAAAAAGTCTAGAAGCCCACCCCATGACTGCACAAGGCTTTGGGGGAACATCCAGATGCAAACCATAACTGGCAGGAAGTAGATGAAACTGAAATAAGGCTGAAATCAAGTAAGATTATTACTGGGAAGCAAGTCACTTGGGGATGCCTGAAACCTTGGAGGAAGGGAACAAAGAGGAGCTGACATCATAATTAAAATATTATTTGAGATTCCCACCCACATCTCATACAGAAAACCACCTCTTTCCTGCAAGAAGCAGGAAGTTTATTCCATGAAGAAACTAAGCTACAGAAGCTCCAAATATTGGGCTAGCGGGCACTTAGGAGGCAGTGGCAATGTGCCATGGTGAAAACAAGAGCAGTGTGAGAACTTTTACCCTGAACCATGGATCTCCTGTGTACCCGCCTGCCTCCCAATGCCAGAACCTCAGAAACTACATTCATTTGCTCCATCAACAGGATTAAATACACCTCTTTGGTGGAAAGAGAACTATCCCCAGAAAAGGAACTACAGAATACTAGAGATGTGATTTTTTTTTTAAAGCCACCTAGCTATTTGCCAACTCAATCACTAGTTGTTTAGCCTTAGTCTCTCTTTCAGAACTTCCAGTCAACTCTTTGGTGATTCACTAATATGAACCAGCCAGCTGAAAATGGAAACAACCGAAGTGGAAGCTTGAGGCCAAAGCAAGAAAGTGACAAAGGATCTTCTTCCAGGATTTCTTAGAAGTTAACAATTTGTTAGACATAATAAAAATAAAAGAGAAAATTTTGAAGATAAAGTGTTCAGAAAGAAAATGTAAGGCATTGTCGCACACTTCTGTAACCCTGGTACTCTGGGAGGCTGATGCAGGAGGATTGCAAGTTTGAGTACATCTTGGGCACCTCAGTGAAAAGTTTCTCGAAATAAAAAAGGATTGAGGATGTAGAAAGAAAGAAAGAGTGGGAGGGAGGAATGAAAGGAGAAAGATCAAATTTAAATAAGGCCGGGGACAGGAAGGAAGGGATATAAAATATAAATTGTCACCTGAAAAAACAGAATAAAGAAAAGAAACAATTGGAAAGAAGCAATTTTTAAAAGTTGAGATTCTGTCCAAGAATCCAATCAATAGTTTTGTAATAGGAGGATCAGAAAAAGAGAATAGATAAAGGGATAGGAAGGAAAATATCAAAGAATGAATTTAAGAAAAAATATGGATTGATCAAATCAGAGGAATAAGCATTTCCATCTCATCGTTTCTGATAGTCAGATATCAGTAAGAAAGGATATTTTATTTTGATTTTTAAAGTTTATTGAAAAATTATCTCAACTATAGTACGTGGTGAAAT